GCCTAATGTCATCTTGCCTCAGTTTCCTTGTCTATAAAGTGAGGACAATGAGTCCTACCTCCCAGTGTCATTGTGGTAAATGGGGCAGTGAAAGTGACCCCACGTGGCCTGATGCAGACCTTTAAGGACAAGCATCAGCAGAGACCCTTCACTCTGTCGGTGTCCTCAGCGGGGGCCAGGGCCACAGGGCTCTTTCTCCACCCTTTCCCGCTCCTTGGTTTTGTCTAAGCCAGGCCGACTGTGGCATCTCAAGTTTGGCTGTTAGTATGCACAGCCCTTCCTAAGCTTCCAAGTGGGATGATCTACGTGAAAAATTAATTGTGTATCTTTTTTCCTTTTTTTTAAGTGGAGAAATTATTTAGGGCTTTGGGGACGAGGGGGCAGCTACTTGCTATGCAGCAGCTCATCCCCTTAGCCCTCACCCCTGCATGTTCAGCAAATGACTCTTCTATTCTCTTCCTGGCAGGTGGTCTCACAGCTACATGTGTTCCATGCTTGCAGCAGGGTGCTCTGGGGAATGTGACATGGTGATGACTGCTGTTTCTAATTACTGCCCTATCAGGAGGCAGAGGAAGGAGATGCTGCCAGCCTGGTGGGCCACTGAAGGAACACTGATGTTCCTGGCTGTCGGGTAGCAGGAGCCGGCAGGGTCTGGCTGCCAGCCTGGTCACTTGGGGATGAGGACTTCCCTTTCCCCAAACAAGCTCAACATCCGAATGATTGACGGGGACACAGCAATCAATAAGTCCTTATTTACTGAGCACCTAGTGTGCTCCTGGTTTTGTGCTAAGCACAGGGGCCAGGGACACAGATTCAAGCAGTAGCAACACACAGTGCCATCCTTTTGGAAACTTACATTATGGGGGGGGGGGGCAATGGCAAAAGAGAGGGAAAAAAATAGCTCTATTCATTCACGAAATGGCATTTATTGGGAACACCCCGATAGTATTTGTACCTATATATTTAAAATATTGTTGTAAACGACCATAATGTAAACTCCCACAGGGGAGTTTATAGTCCAATGGGAGAGAGAGACATTCATTAAATACTGTCAAAAATATGTTGTTACAAGCCGTGGCCAATTCTATAAAAGTACAGGGGCTATTCGAGTATACATGGGGACCTGATTTCTTCTGGGTTTAGAGGATTCCCGGGTGAAGTTGCTGTAATCTCTCATTGTGGAAATGGAAAAAGAAATATTGACTCCAGGAAGTGTTTGGAAAGAATCGACAAGCTGTGTGGACAGATACAGGGGGAAGGAGATGGATGTTGAATATGACTTTCCAGGTTCTGACCAGAAGAACAGAATAGAGGCGCTGCTGTGGGACAGGGCAGCTGGGGTGGGGAGCCAGCGTTGCACGGGAAGCAGCATGGAACACGCCGAGCTCCGTGGGCCCACGGATAGACCCGAAACACTGCGTGAGGGTGGGGCGGGCTGGGGCGAGGGCCTGGCTGAGCGACATTTGCTGCTATGACTCTAGGGAAATGGAGGCTGGAGTAAGTTCTCAAGCGTGGGAACTGCTCCTAGTGAAGGCATTAGATAGGAGAGGGGAACTCTCCCTGAAGGATGCCTGCTGTGCTCTGGGTGTGTGTTGGGCGCACCCCCACTGTGTGGGCTGCCGGCAGCAGGACTCAGAACCTGCTCAAGGCTTTCCAGAAAGTGTGTGTGTGTGTTGGGGGGTGTAAGGTGTGTGATGTGTATTTATGTGTGTGGTATGGGGGGTGTGTTCTGTGTGGTGTGCATGTATGCATGGTGTAAGGTGTGGGATGTGTGCTGTGTGTGTGGCAGGTGATATGTGCATGTTAGGCATAGGCTGTGTGTGTGGTATGTGAATGGGCTGTGTGTGAGATGTGTGTAGTTTGTATGGTCTGTGTGATAGGGTGTGTATAGTCTGTGTGTGTGTGCATGGTCTGTACAAAGTGTGAGGTATGTGTGTCTGTGTGTGTGTGTGAGGTGTGTATGGTCTGTGTGTGAGGTGTGTGTGTCTATGTGTGTGTGAGGTGTGTGTGGTCTGTGTGTGAGGTGTGTGTGTCTGTGTGTGTGTTGGTGTGTGTGTCTGTGTGTGTGTGTGAGGTGTGTGTGTGTGTGTGTGAGGTGTGTGTGTCGGTGTGTGTGTCTGTGTCGGTGTGTGTGTGTGTGGTGTGTCTGTGTGTGTGTGAGGTGGATGTGTGAGATATGTGTGTCTGTGTGTGTGTGGGGTGTGTGTGGTCTATGTGTACATGATGTGTGTATATCTGTGCTGCTGTCATATCGCAGGCAGGAAACAGCTGGACTCCCCGGGACTTGGCCTTGGCCGGCAGGAGCAGCACTTCTCCCTCTCTCTGGGGAAGTGCTGTGGCATCTCTGCTCTCTGGGAGGCAGTGTGCCTGCTTCCTCTCCCTGCTTCTCTCTGCTGACACCGTCCCTGCTTCCCCATTGCCCAACTGGGGCTTTTTAGTTCAAGAGTTCAACATTACTCATCCCATCACTCATCATTCAATACAAATGTATGTCAGGAGGTGTTTTTCGGCACTGGGGATGCAGTGAATATCAAAGCAGAGTCCCTGATCTCAGAAAGTGACATTCTTGTGGAAGAGACAGATATTCAACAGATAAAAGAGATGTTTCAGGTTGCAATCCTGCTGTGAGGAGAAGCAAAGCTGAGGGAGGGCTGGGAGGTGTTGGGTGGGGATGTCTTGGTAACTGCTGACCTGGGAGGCCTCTCTGCCCCAGTGACATCAAAGCAGAGACCCGAAGGATACGGGTGCGGCAGCTGAAACAGGAGAATCTGGGCAAAGCCCCTGAGGCAGGGCACTGTCTGAGGTGTACACAGAGCAGCCAGGAGACCCGTGTGGTTTGGGTGGCGTGGCGAGGGGAGTCGTGGGACCTGAGTTCCAAGAGATAACACAGAAACCAGTCATGCAAAGCCACAAGAGCTGTGAGTGGTGGGGGGCACGGGCCACTTCCACATAGCTCTGGGCACTGTGTGGACAGATGATGGGAGGGAGGGTGCAGGCAGGGAGAGCAGGTGGGAGACTATCGCAGCCATCTGTGTGACACATGAGAATCTGGACTAGGGCAGGAGCTGACATGATGACAGAAAAGGTCAGATTCTGGACAGATGTGAAGGCTGCGCAGATACAGCTGCTGATGGATCTAACCGACTTGCTTCTGGATCTTACAGTTTGACGCATGAAGAGAATCTGACGGGTCCAGCATGGCCTATGAATCAGCTGACCAGATTGAGAAGGGTAGGGTCAGGAGGTACAGAGGAGCTCCTCAGGCAGGAGAGCGAGGAGAGTCCCACATTCGGGTCCTGGGTAGTCCCCTGGTTGGCATGTTCCCATTCTCATGCCAGCTCATTCAGTGATGCTCGCCACCACCTGCAAGAAAGGTGGTTTTTGTTTTTGTTTTTTGAGGCGGTGTCTCACTCTTGTTGCCCAGGCTGGAGTGCAGTGGTGCGATCTCTGCTCACTGCAACTTCCACCTCTCGGGTTCGAGCGATTCCCCTTCCTCAGCCTTCCAAGTAACTGGGACCACAGGTGCCCGCCACCATGCCCGACTAATTTTTCTTTTTTTTCAGCAGAGACGGGGTTTTGCCATGTTGGCCAGGCTGGTCTTGAACTCCTGACCTCAGGTGACCCAACTGCCTCGGCCTGCTAAAGTGCTAGGATTACAGGCATGAGCCACTACACCTGGCCAAAGGAGGTGTTTTATTCCAGTTTTCTGTTTATGAACCAGGGGCTGAGAGAGGATGAGTGACTTGGTCAAGGTCACACAGCTGGTGAAAGACTGTAGATTTGACCTTTTGGAGTCCATCTGATTCTAAAGCCCCTGCCATAACTACAAAGCCAAGGCTGCTGACAGGGATAAAGAAATCCCGAAAGAAGTCAGGAGAGAGGCAAGGTCATGGAGGTTCCCACAGGAGCGTTTGAGGAAGGAAGAAATGGTTAGCAATGCCTGTGCTAGAGAGAAGCCAGCTGAGGTAAGGAGTGAGGGCTGCCTTTCGCTCTCATGGAGAGCCAAAGCCAGGTAAGATGCTCATGAGGGCAGGTGGCTAGAGAGGGACTCCAGGGAGAGGGTGTCGGCGCCATGCTTACTCAGAAGGACGCTGCCACCTGCTGGCAGTGTGACCTTGGGCTGTTGCCCTCTCTGAGCCTCCAACAGCCTCGTGATAATGTCAGCTGAAATACACTGTGCAGCGTTAAACGAGCACGAAGGTTTATTTCTTGCTCATGCTCATGTCCATGGGGAGGCAGTTGCAGCTCTGCCGCTCCATGTCATCTTCTCTCTGGCACTGGCTGACTCAGGAGCACCTGTCTAGGTCCCTTGCCATTTCAGTGGCAGAAGGTGGGTGGGGGAATCATTGATGACATCCAAATCAATGGGGAAAAGAGTATAACCCTCTTCCTTGGAAGGGTAGTAACTAATCAACAACAATACCATCTACCCCAGCACCTACCTCCAAGAGTTTAAAAAGCATGCAGTGCAGCATCTTGACAGTTGGCGAGAGCTCAGAGGTGATTGCTGTTTCTATTATTAGCAGGCTAAGATAGTGCCCTGCAAAGCAACTTGCTGGTAGTGCTTAGGAAAAGCTCCCGTGGCTCTCATTAAGCAGTTTGTCACTGTGGAGCAGGAGAAGAAGTGGAGCCCATGGCTTGCTCTGAACATAAGCCCTACCGTGACCACAGAATTCTGCCCCCAACTCCCCATACTCCTCTGCCTCGGCCTCGGCCTCTCCACTCTCTGGGCATCTTGTCCTGCTCGTTTGCTGTCCACATCTTCAAAGTTTCTCCCTCGGCTTCTGTCTCTAACAGGCAAGAGAGAGAAACAAACCACTTTCTTCTTCTTAGAATGTGGTTTGTTTTTAATAGAAATTTGAGTAGAAACAAATTTAAAAAATAGTTGCAGGTTTTGGTTAAGATCTCTAGCTAACAAAGTTGCAACAGAGTAATGATTTCTTACTTTCAAGAGTGCAGAGTGAGGAACATTTTTCTTCCAGCTTGATTTCTTTTTTTTCCCACCAGTTGTTAAATGACCTTTATTGAAATATTTTCCTTTGTGCTTCTTAACTAGTTGGGCATTCCACAGCACCACTGTTGGTGTCATCTATGACATCGTGAGGGTGGCGGACATCAGCATTACAGCCCACAGACTGGGCAGTCCCCAGGATCTCTTTAATGGTTCCAGAGAGTTCTCTGGCTAAAGATCGGTGCCACATCTGTCGAGCAATGTTGTCAATCTCATCGAAAGTGATATTCCCACTGTGTTTAATGTTTTTCTGTTTCTTTCTGTCTCTTGGTGGTTCCTTAAGGGCTTTGATGATCAGGGCAGAGGCAGAAGGCACCTGGGCCTGTCTGTTCTGAATGGTCAGTTTCACTGTAATCCTCAGGCCCTTCCAGTCACCCGTTGCCTTGGCAATGTCATCACCAGCCTTTTTTGGAGACAGACCCAGGGGGCCGATCTTGGGGGCAAGCGCAGAAGTGGCACCAACTTCACCCCCAGTGCACCTCAGCGGCATGGTGGAGGCGGCTGGTGTCGGATGAACCCGGATTCGGGACGACCGAAGAAGGTTGCACCTTAGCCTCCTCGGAGCCGAAAGCCGAAAGCCCAGCTTGATTTCTAATAGAAAAAAAAAGAAAAAGAAAAGCTCAGATGGGCTCTCAGTTCTCGGAAGCCAAGGGGACTCTACTTTGAGTGGCTGTCATTGTCCCTCTGGGTTGTGTTGAGTGTGTGGCTCCATGCTATGGTCTGAGGTTAGAAACTGTGGACAAATTTATTTTTCAAAAAACCTAGATGGACATAGTCTACTTAGGAATTCACATTGTAAAAGAATGATACCACTGATCCTGACACCCCTGTACTTCATCTGGCGTGTTTCATCCAGACCCGTGATGGTAGCTGAGAAAGGGCAATTTGACTCACAGGGACTATAACGGCGGGAAAGGAGGAGCAAGCAGTGAGGAGAACAGCTAAGCCAGGAGGTAAGTGGAAGAAGAACCAGTTAGAAGACCGTGCCCATGGTTGGCCTTAATTTTCGCCTGGGCCACTCCCAAAGTTAATGATTCCCAAGGCATTTTTTCATTTGATTTTCTAATTTGGACCTCACAACCACCTTAAGAAGTAGAAAGAGCCGATGTTATTATCTGCATTTTTATACACAAGATAAATGAAGGTCAGGGAGATTAAATGATTGAGCTGCAGATACACGGCTGGTAAATGAGAGAGGCCAAATATTTTGACACCTTGCCATGTGTGATCTTTATTACTCTGAGCAGTCTCTAGTGGGTAAATGTAGGCTTTACAAAATGAGTTGCCTTGATTCCTTTCTTCACCAGGAATTCTGAACATGTCCAAATGATTTTGTTGGGGGATACACAAAAGGCTTTTTAATAAAGCCTCGCCTTTGACTGGAGTTGTAATAAACTGCATCGGTTAAGATTAGGTTCATTGGTCCAGGCTGCACCATATCATTACAAACTGAAATGGTGACAAGATTTATTAATATGTGAGTTTTAGGCTGGGGCAGTGGCTTATGCCCATAATGCCAGCACATTGGGAGGCAGGTAGAAGGAGTTTGAGACCAGCTTGGGGAACATGGCAAAACCCCGTCTCTATAAAAAATAAAAAAATAGCTGGGTGAGGTGGTGTATGCCTGTAGTTGCAGCTACTTGGGAGACTGAAGTGGGAAGAGCACCTGAGCCTGAGGAGGTCAAGGCTGCAGTGAGCCAAGATTGTGCCACTGTGTTCCACCCTAGGTGACAGAGTGAGACCTTTTCTCAAAAAAAAAAAAAAAAAATTAAAAAGTGAGTTTTAGGTATCAGCTTGTATTCTTTGGTTGCAAACAACAAGAATCAACTTGGATAAGTTAAGCTGACAAATTTGTTGGAAGTACTTCAGACAGCTCACAGAGTCTAAGGGAAGACTGAAGAATTAGGCTGGGAAAATGATGGCAGTGGTCTGGGCAGCTAGAGCTGGTGAGGGGCAGGAGCCAGCCAGGGCAGCACCATTCACTGCCATGAGAGTGAATGGGGAGGGCTGGCCTCACCTTGCCTGTGTCATGTGCTCTCCCCTTGGCCAGAGCCTCGTTGGCAGTTCCACTAAAATGACCCACAGTCAGCAAAGGAAAACAGCATTTGCAGCTACTAAAAGAGGAGGCGATGGATGCTGGGAAGACAATGACTGCCTTCTGCCCAGACTGCCTTGCCTCCATTCAATCCTCCAGGAAAGGGGAGATTTTGCTGGCCCTGGTCCAGGATCTTTTGTGATGTGGAAAGAGGGGGATAAGTAAAAAGGGTTGAGGGTGGAGTGACCAAGGAACAAATCAGTCAATACAGAGAGTGACTGGGGAGGAGACAGGAGAAAGGGCTGCCTCCCTTCTCAGGGGCTGGGGCTGAAGGAAGAATTTGGGGTTTGGAGGATCTCCCAGAGCATCACACAGACAGAGAGGAGGTGCAGTGAGATGTGCTGTGCTGAGTTATAAATTGGATCTCTTGTAATACGCTTGTGAGCTGCAAGTTTAGATGAGCAGCTCCCTTTAATTACGCCACCCCTGCATTATGCAATTTTGAATGTGCACAGACTGATCGTGTAGGGCCCTAAATTTTATTAGGGTCACAATGATGTTTAGTGTTTGTCATCAAAATTCTTGGGAAGTGAGTGGCTACAGCTAGGAGGGCTTATAGAATGTGCCTGAGTTAATCCGTTTTTTCTTTTCTCTGTCTTGGTTCTAGAATTACCCATTTTAGTTTTTCCCCGAGGAGCATTTAAAATTTGGTTAAACTTTCCTTAAGGAAGCAGAACCTGTGACAGCTTTATTTTCAAGAAAGTATTTGTGGTGAGGGGTTAGCATGTACTTAGATGGGCCCTAAATTTCTGTTATTATTGTTCCCTTGTAAATAGCTCATCATTTTTATCATAAAGTAAGAACTTGAGTGTGGTATTTTATAGATAAGAAAATTGAAGCACATGATCTAGCTCATAAAAGTTTAATTAGGCTAGTCTGTCATGTTATTTGGAAGCCAATATTCTTATCCTCATAGAAACCAACTTTTGAGTAAGCATTTTTCATGCACAGTAACCCTATGAAGTAGATCTCCTATTATCTCCACTTCACAGATGAACAAAGTTACTTGTTTACAGTCACACAGGTGACAAGAGGGTGTTCTCCACTAGCCCAGTTGACGGCAGAGCCCACACTCGGAATGCCTGCTTAGCACAGGACTGCAGGCAACAATCCAACTGCTAATGCTCACCGCCCTGGACCCTGACACGACCCCTTCCTAGGTCTAGCTGCTAGGAGCACTCATTGACCACAACCGCTATAATATTCAGAACCGTCTATTATGTCAGAATAATAAAAGAGTTTAAAAAGAAGTTCACTGGTAAATGAATGAATCAATTTTTGATTAACTAGAGTTTGTGAATTAATTCATTGAAAACGCTTTTTGCAGAAGCTATTTATCATATGCGCTAGGTCTGTGGACACAATAGTGAGATTAAAAAAAAAAAAAGATCCCTGCCAGGCGTGGTGGCTCATAGCTGTAATCCCTGCACTTTGGGAGACCAAGGCAGGTGGATCACCTGAGGTCAGGAGTTTAAGACCAGCCTGGGTAACATGGTGAAACCCCATCTTTACTAAAAATACAAAAATTAGCCGGGCATGGTGGTGCACACCTGTAGTCCTAGCTACTTGGAAGGCTGAGGTAGGAGAATTGCTGGAACCCAGCAGATGGAGGTTGTAGTGAGCTGAGACTATGCCATTGCACCCCAATCTAGGCAACAAGAGTGTAACTCCCTCTCAAAAAAAAAACAAAAAGCAAAAAAACAAATATCAACCCTGCCTTCAGGGAACGCAGAGTCTGGTGGAAATGCCAGATGATAATCAAATAATTGCAATAAATAAATAATTAAAAACTCTGATGGTGACAAGTTGTTTGAGGTTGAATTACAGTAGCAATGGCGGTGGAAATGTCAGATGATAATCAAATAATTGCAAAAAATAAGTAATGAAAAATTCTGATGGTGACAAGTGGTTCAAGGTTGAATTACAGTTGCAGAGGCAGGCGGCGAGCAGAGGAATCAAGGGGAAGCGAGGAGACAGCTCTGCTTGCTGTGCGTTCAGCAAGCGTTTAGTGAAGGTGCTGTAGGTGGCCCACAGTGTCAGTTGCCATGTGGGATATGAAGCCAATACCAGCATAGGAGGAAACACGTGCACACAAGTCACCATAAAAACACAAACAGAGATGACAGGATGGCAGTGATAAGTATGATGGCTTACTTTTATTGGCCCAATTTCAAGTACTCCACATGAAATAAGTCATTAATTCCTAAAGCAATCCTGTTAAGCGCTACTATCATCCTGCATGGATGGGGAGAGGGGGTGGAGAGCAGCCAGGCAAGGATACCTCTCAGGTTAGCCTGGGGAAGATGAGGAAATCAGGGCGGGAGTGCAAGGAAGGGCTAGGACATGACGATGTGGTGCAGGCGTCAGGGCACGGAGAGCATCGTTCTGGCTGGAGGAGCGGGTGTTTGACACGGGCCCGGGAGGATGAGGAGGCTCTAGCAGGCAGAGACTGGAGCTGTTGGCAGAAAGAGCGCCACTGAGGCGAGCATATGTGGCAAATGTGGGGGTCTGGCCAAGTTCTTTTTGGCAGGCATGCAGGACACACCACTGTGCTTCGGTCACCTGGAGAACTTTTTACAAATACAGAGTTGTGGTGTCCATCCCAAGAGAGGATCAGCAAGTAAGGCTGGGTCAGGCCTGGGAATCCCCACGTTTATATAACACCTGAGTGAGTCCAGCCCTTGGACAGGTGTTTGGAAAGCATTTGTATGATGCTATGTGGGACAGTGAGGTGACGCAGGGTATGGCCAGATGGCGTATGGCCAGATGGCGCATGGCCTGGGACCTGGAGCTGAACCATTTGCTTTGTGAAGCCGGGGGTAGCTGAGAAGGGGCACCATTGGGAGGTGCCTGTTGTCTGCCGAGTTCCTCAGAGAGGAAAGCCTGAAGGCAAGGAGACTCATTAGTGGCTAGTTAACTGTCCTTGTGAGAGGTGGTGGCAGTGGCTGTGGCAAGAGAGCCTGTGTATGTCACTGGGGCAGAGTCAGCAGGACACGATGCCCAAATGGATGGGGAGGAGACAGAGGGTGGCTGGGGCCACAGCTGGACCAGGTAGCCAGCCTGATACCATGGTCTCTAGTGAGGTTTCTGTTCCATGAGGGAGGACAAGGGAGGGGTTGTCCGGCCAGAGGCCTGACTTCCTCACAGAACGGGTGTCTGGCCTGAATCTTTCTCTCCTCACTGTGTCTCTAAGAATCCTCCCTGGAGGAAGCTGTCTAAGTATCTTAGAAGCTCAAGCAACATTCCACAAACCTTCTGGCTAAAAGAGGCGGATTTTTTTAGTTTATAGAATAAGAAAGGGAGGTGGATGCAGGAATGATGATGCCAAAACCAAGAGTGAGTTAAGACCTGCTAGCTGAGTGGTTTGCTTTGGCTCCGAAACCGGACAGTTTCAGCCAATAACAATAATATCAATAATTAAGACGATAACAGCTATTGGGCACCTGCTATGGGGTGACAGCTGTGCCAGGAGCTCCATCTACCATGTCTCATTTATCTCTTGAAATAACCCAGAGGAGTATTAACTGGGTTCTTCTTAGCTCCAGTTAACAGATGAAGAAATGGAGGCTTAGGATGATAGAGTAATTTTCTCAAAGCGTCACAGCTCCTGAGTGGCAGAGCCAAAATTCTGCTTAACCAATGGAGGGGATGGGACTGCCTGCGGTGGAATGGTGCTTGAGGGGGAAAGAGCCCTGGGTCTGGAGCCAGAGCCGTGGCTTAATCCCAGCCCCACCATCTCCAGAGTCACTGGATGCAAAGCCCAGTTCTCGCCCTTGTAAAATGTAGCACCTGCTCTCCTATCCGTACTGGGAGGTTGTAAAGCTCAGCCACAAAGCAGAGGTGTTCATAATGCAGGATGTCCTGCTGTACCGCTGCCTGTGCAGAGAGGACCCAGAGGTGGCCACTTATAAATTTAAGGGCACGACCTCAACAGCGGGCAGGAGGGACAGTTATGCTCAGCCTTGTTCACCTCAGCAAACCCTGGGGCCAACTTGGTGTCTGAAGTTGTGCATGGAGGGCATCACAAGATTCCTGGTGCTTGGTCCTCATCTGAAGGGGTAGGGCAGGGACAGGAAATGAGAGTGGCAACCCTTCTACACAGCTGCACCAGGACAGCGCACAGGAACAGCGGGAATGGACAAGACAAGGGAGATGCCCTTTTCCATGAGCCCCAAAACCTGGGAGATGGCTGGGTCAGTAGACTCATTCTGAAAACAACTGAAGGACTGGAACATAAGGACAATCAGTAGAATGCATGAGTTTATGAAATACAAATCTTTAAAAGGGAAACATTTTCTTTCCATCAGATAACTGTTTTTTGCTTGAGGCCAACAAAAATTGGATTTAGAGGCATATTGTGGCTCAGTGAAGAAATAAATTTTACTTTACCTTACCCTGAATACTAACTTGGGGAATAAGCAGATATACCAGTTCTTTTAAGTTGGGGGTGGAGAGAAAAAGAGAAGGAAAATAGCCTCGCAGTTGGAATTTATCTTGAGAACATAGCCAAGTTCACCTCCTTTCCTTCACGGGTAAAATTCTTCCACTGAGGCAAGATTGTCCTGGGGCACCTGAGCTGTGAAGGAAGGATGTGTATTGATTAAGTTCACGCATTTTGCAAGAGGAGAAATGCCCTGGATTGCTCTGAACCTGACTTGTGGTGTAACTGTTTTTTGTAGCAAAGTATTTTGTTTTGAAGCGTCGCTCCACATGGCCTCGTCCTCAGCTGCTTCAAGCAAGTATCAAGTATTTTGTTTTTCTAAACTAGACACCAGGAGAATTTAGGGCAAATGTACAACCTTCTCCTCTGTAGGCTCCCTTCCTCCAGCCCTTCTCTGATCCAGGGCCTGGCTTTGAGAAACTCTGGTTCTGGGTGGAATCTTTCTTGCCCAGCCCCTTAGCACCAGATGCAGCATGACCTCCAGGCCGTTGTGGGTGCCTTCCAGAGCTGATTGTTTAATCTTGCAGTGTCTACCTGATATATGACTAGGAGGCTCTGTCAGATGAGGGTTATCTTGCCTCACTAATAAATGCAATAAAGCCTCTGTGTGTCACAGTTTGTAGCACTTGGGGTTGACAAAACATCAAGTCTGTATAACTGGGTCTGCCCATATGGTACTTTTGGATTATTTATAGTCGATGTGTGTTTTGTCACTCATGCATCTATCCAACATCAACTGAGCACCCACCATGTACCAGGCCCTGTGCTGGAAGCTGTTGATATGGTATGGCTCTGTCCTCACCCAAATCTCATCTTGAATTGTAGCTCTCATAATCCCCGTGTGTTATGGGAAGGGGCTGGTAGGAGGTAACTGAATCTGGGGGCGGGTTTTCCTGTGTTATTCTTGTGATAGTGAATAAGTCTCATGAGATCTTAAGTTGCTTGAAATTGAAACCTGGGTCATCAATTTGTCTCGCCTTCCCCATAGCAAGGGGTAGCCTGCCTCAAACACCTGCTGCAGGAGCAGCCTGTTTGTCCAGCTGCCGTGCACGGCCAGCTGGGAAGTGGCTGTCAATGCGGACTGACCTGAGAAGAGACTGAGGAATTGTTCTGGAAGTCCAGCTACCTTTGCCTGCTCGTGGGCTTTCTCTTTGTGCCCCACGGATAGCAAGCACCTTGTACCTTTTTCTCGGGGTCTGCCCTCACTATGTTTCTGATCGAGGACTGTCACTGCAGTCCTAGCTGTTCTCATTTCCTGAGTGGTCCCCAATCCTTCTCAGCTGTTTCAGCCAAACAGGGTTGCATAATGATTCACATCACTTAGAGCTAAAACATCTTTCAACAAATGGGAACTGCTGCTATAGGGAGCTTCAGAAGTGCACTTTACATTAATTATAATGGCAGTGAGCTATTTGGCACTCAGCTGAAATTTGTATCTAACAGCTGATTTGGTATTTGGAGTTTCCACACTTCATGACTCAAGGCAGACTGAGAAGGAAGGGGGGTTAGAATGGGAGCAGACACAGCTGCTTGGAGCACAGACAAAAGACACCCTAGGAGCAGGGAGGCCTTTGGAAGCAGTGCTCCAAGCTGGGATGGGCCAAGGTCAGGTCCAGTGTCACAAACGATCCAATTTACTTAGTACTTCTTCCAGTGGTTTTCTGGCCAAAGGAGAGACCCTGCAGCTGAGGGGAAAGAGGGCCAGACCTGGAACCAGGAAGCAGAAAGTCTTGTCCCACTCTGCTGGGAGTTGGCTGAGTCCATTGGGATAAATGACTGTCTATGTCTCAGTTTGCTTATTGGTGAGATGGGGGCTGGCCTACCCATGAGTGGTATTATGAGGTTTCTCCAGGATATTAGATGCTCTGAGCTTCATCTGTTTCCTGACCTGTAAATGAGAGGTAGGCTCAGTCTCTCAGCCCTTCCAGTTCTAAAATCAAATGAGAAATTGTGATAAAAAATACTTGTTATTATTACTATTATTCCAAGTGGTAAAGATTGTGCTAAGGTGCTTTATAGCCTGCTACTCTCCACTGGTCACTGCTTAGTGAAGGGAGCAAGGCAACCCAGGACTTATGACTGGCCAGGACATCTTCCCTGGGGACCGATGTCACAGTCTGCTTGTAAAGGAGGACCCCATGGCAAAGTGAATTATAAAGGAAATCACCACTGTCTCCCTCTTACAAGTTATTGAAACTCATTTGACAGCAAAAAAGATATTTTTGCTAAGAAATAGGTTATTGCCATAAAAAATTAATCTGGCTTTTGGCTAGAATAATAAAAAATGTCTTCTAAGTGTGAACTGAGGAGAGGCACAAAGAGGAGCGCGACGAGGTCCCTTGCATTTGTGTTGGGGAGGCAGCCATCTGCGCCTGAAGCATTTAAGAAGGGCAAATGAAATGAGAACACAATGTAAACACGCGATTCGGAGGCTGTTTCAAGGGGAGTTGGTGAATGAGTGGCACGGAGTAGCCTGTGGAGCCTGGAACAGAGGCATTCGTGAGAGCCAGGTTCATAGTGTCTGAGGTTTAAGAACACACAATGAGTGGTCAAGACTGCAGCCTTGCTGGTTCCTACAGAAGCAGAGGCCCAGGGTGGCAGATGAAGAAGGGAGGCAGGGGGCCGGGTGCGGTGGCTCACGCCTATAATCCCAGCACTTTGGGAGGCTGAGGCTGGTGGATCACGAGGTCAAGAGATCAAGACCATCCTGGTCAACATGGTGAAACCCTGTCTCTACTAAAAATATAAAAATTAGCTGGGCATGGTGGTGCACACCTGTAATCCCAGCTACTCAGGAGGCTGAGGCAGGAGAATTGCCTGAACCCAGGAGGCAGAGGTTGCGGTGAGCCAAGATCGCGCCATTGCACTCCAGCCTGGGTAACAAGAGCGAGACTCCGTCTCAAAAAGAAAAAAAAAAAAAAAAAAAAAAAAAAGAAGGGTGGCAGGGAAGGCCACGCTTCCTAGACTCCAGAATGTGACTGTCAGGGCTTTGTTAAACACAGAGAGGCCATCTTCCCCTACACTGATGCCCTCTTGTAATTCTACTTTGCAGGATTTACTCAGGAACTTGGCAGGTTTGAGATCTCCTAATAAGTCAAGAAAGAGGCCTCTGGTTTAGGAAGGTCTTTGCCAGCTGTGGGACAAAATCACCTATGTGTACCATCTAGACTTTCTCCTTGAATGGGCCGGAAGCAGCAGGTATTGTGGAAAGCACACTGAACTCAAAGTCCAGATAGCCAAGCTTTGGATCTTGGACAAGCCACTTAAACTTTCAGGTTCTCCGTTTTCTTGTTTGTATAATGGGGTGAATTCTCACAGTCAGTGTGAGTCTCTGAATCAAAAAGAAATGTTCTATGTGGAAGAATTTTGAAACTTTGAAGTTGTTATTGACAACTGAAAATGTCTGATGCAGCTTCCCCACTTACTAATTCTTCAGCCTTGTTTCCTTGTCTGTAAGATGGAGATACTTTATAACGACACCTGCCACTCAGTGGCATTCTGAATATTCAATGAGGCGAGGTATGTGGAGTGTTTAATATGGCACCAGGCTCACAGTGCCTAGAGAATCCACATTTGTTCCTCCTCTTTCTCCAGTGGTTCTGTTAAAGTTACAAAGCTCAGTTGTAGGGAACATTTGAATTTGCCAGCAAAAGTCTCCCTTGTAAACACTCTGGTAACTGTCACCTCTGGAGGGGGTCTAAGAATTAAAACAGCTTTGGGTCACCTGTTCAGTCCAGAAATTCACAAGTGAATAGACATCTTTACAGAGACAGTGCAAGCCTCTTCGCAAACTCTGTGAGTTTGCAGACAGCAGCCCACCCTGTCCTTCCCCGCTTCCTTTCTGGGCCTCTGAAGGTAAATGAGAAGCAGGTGACAAAGGATGTGAGGCCCGCAGAGAGGAACCTCAGGAATCTGCCTCCCATAGGTGGCTCTGTCCCCCGTCCAGGCTAAGGAGCCTCTCTGTGGCCCGGCAGCTGCATCGCTGAGGACTGAAGGTGATGCCAAGTAGTTCTGCCAGCCCAGAACTCCATGATGAATGGGGTAATTTAGTGCCGCAGGTTCTGTGCTGAGCAGGCAGTAAATCCTTGTTTGTTGGATTGCCCTAAGTACTGGGTAGTGCTTTGCACTGGCTCAGGAAACCTCAAATTATCCAGCATCAAAGCATGATTTGCTTCGGTTTTGGGTGCTTGCTTGATGTCTTTGAGACTTCCTCTGCTTTTTGACGGAGTATCCTGATTCCACCTTCCTGATCCCATTTCCTTCGCCACCGCCCAGCTGGGTTGGCTGCACTTAGAGTTCTACCGCAGTCCTTTCTCTCCAGAGGCAATGCCACCCACTGCTTTGGCTTCCACCCTCATGTCATGCTGATGCTACGTGAGTTTCTATCTCCAGTCCCCACTTGTCTCCTGAGCTCCTTGTCCGTTTTTCTGGTTGCCTGCTAAGATGGGTTCATTTTAATGTCCCCTACGACTTCATGCCCAGAGCATCTCAGACCAAACTCATTGTTTATTCTACATTTGGTAAGACAATTTCTCCTCCTCTATTTGCTAACTTGTTTTAGGACATCATTACTAAACTGGAGATCATTTTTGAGACAACTTCCTTCTCATCTCACCAGTCATCAGGTTGGAAAAAAAAGCCCCCGAATTCATTTCCTTACTACTCATCTTTGACATCACCCCCAGGATTATATTACTAAAAATTGGCTCTGTTTCTTTATTAGTCAACGTTCTCTAAAGGGACAGAACTAATAGGATAGATGAATATATAAAGTTAAGTTTTTCAGGAGAATTGACTCACATGATCACAAGGTGAAGTCCCATAATAGGCCGTCTGCAAGCTGAGGAACAAGGAAGCCAGTCCAAGTCCCCAAACCCCAAAAGTAGGGAAATCAGCAGTGCAACCTTCAGTCTGTGGCTGAAGGCCCAAGAGCCCCTGGCAAATCACTGGGGTAAGTCCAAGTGTCCAAAAGAGAAGAACCTGGAGTCTGATGTTCGAGGGCAGGAAGCATCCAGCATGGGAGAGAGATGGAGGCCAAGAGACTCAGCCAGTCTAGTCCTTCCACGTTCCTCTGCCTGCTTTTATTCTGGCTGCTCTGGCTGCTGACTAGACGGCGGCCACTAGATTGCGGGTGGGTCTGCTTCTCCCAGCCCACGGACTCAAATGTTAATTTCCTTTGGCAACACCCTCACGGACACACCCAAGATCAATACTTTGCTTCCTTCAATCCAATCAAGTTGACACTCAGAATTAACCATCATAGTGTCTATCTTTTCATTGCTCAGAAACCTCTTAAGGCCCTCCATGATTTACAGGAGAAAGACTTAGCCCGTCAGTGTGCCTGTCACACTTTCACCTTCATTTCCCACCTGTGCCAGTGTCTCTCAGCCTTTTTCTTGCCCACTGACACCCGAGGGATCAGTAACAGTGACTCATTACTTTAGTAATACTTACTGAGGACGGTGGGAGGGAGCCTCCTAGGTCAGCATTCAGAATCTGGGATGGAGGGAGGGATAGCAAACATCTCCCTGGAGGGCCTGGCCGGAAGCCCCTCCTGAGCCTGGGACATCTGTCTTGCTACTTCCCCTCATCATCCTGCTCCATCGTGGACTCTGGCAGCTTTGTGCCTCTGGCCATGCTATTCTCTAGGCTTGGGATTTCCTTCCTTTCTACCCTGCTTGTTGCCAGACCTTGGGGGGCTATATTGAGATGTCTCAGAATTGCTCTTTTGAGAGTTATGTAAATATGGAGCATGTCTTAGCCTGGGCTCCCCTAGAAAGCAGAGCCTGAAGCCAAGATTAATGTGTTGCTGCTTTATGGGAGTGGTAGAAGTCAGGGGATGAAGGTGAGGGGAAAAAACGGTGGTGAGAAATGGGAAGATGGGAAGTGATGTGAGTCACTATCCAGCCGCACTGGCCCTGTTCCATTCAAGCCATGGAGACACAACAGGTCACCTGGCAGGCGAGGGCAACAAGGGGAACCACGCTGCAGCACAGCCCCTGGGAAGGAGAAGCGAGGAAACTCACCTGCCCAACTCCTTCCCTTCTATCTGTCCCCGGTTATTTACCCCACACCAAGTTGACTCTTTTGTGCTTCCAGGTTCATCACCCAGCCCCTTAGTGGCCACTTGGGGAGCCAGATTCTGTGCCTTATGGGATTGCATTCCGTCCAAGTCTTTATGTGGACTGATGACTTGGGTGAATCAGGGCTCAGTGTGTGGAGCATGACATATAGTCCTGGGGATTCCCTTTG